CCAAGAGACTTTTAATACAGGGAATTGGTGTCTAGCCTTAAAGAGCCAGGAAGCCACTGGGGACAGTGAGGCCACCCACAAACTGGCAACAACAGGGAAACAGCATTGCCCCCAGACAGAAGGGGCAAAGTGAAGAAGGGGCATCTGTGGAGGCCAGGGCTGTGTCACCAGGGTGAATCAGTCTTCAACAGTAGAAGCTGAAACCATGGACAACAGGCCAGTCCCTGGAGAGCCTTGCAGGGCCAGCATCGGGCGGGTCTGTTTCTCTCCAATCTCCCACAGGGGTGTGGACCAGGGCAACCCAGCAGAGCAGAAGGGAAGGGATGGATCTGAAGACAAAGACGTCTAAGACTGCTCCACTGCTCCTCTGTGTCAGCACACGACCTGCAGGTGCAGGGGAAAGCCATCATTCCTAACCAGCTCTGGGGCAGTGCTGATGCTGCAAGCCCATGAACCCCACTTCCAAGCAGGGATCCAAAGCATCCAAGTACAGGGCCAGCAAAAGGAACTCAGCCATCCTCCTTCCATAAATTAACAAAATGCAGCCATGTAGGAGCCTTTCAAACATGTAGAGGTGGGAGCAGGACTGGGGCAGGGCCGCTGCCTGCACAACCCTCTCAGGTCACTATTCCCACCATGTCATCCTATCTCTATGATTCACAGTCATTCCAGGCTAAATTGTGTCCCCCAAAATCTCGCATGCTTAGCCCTCAGAGTATGACTATATGTGAAGATAGGACCTTTACTTAAGTTCATATTTATTAACTAAGGTGATTAAGTTAGAATGAGGCCAATTGAGTGGCCCTGATCCAATATGACTGTTGTCCTTATAAGAGGTGATGGGAGCCGGCGCCGTGGTTCAATAGGCTAATCCTCCACCTAGCGGTACTGGCACACTGGGTTCTAGTCCCAATCGGGGCGCCGGATTCTGTCCCGGTTGTCCCTCTTCCAGGCCTGCTCTCTGCTATGGCCCGGGAGTGCAGTGGAGGATGGCCCAAGTGCTTGGGCCCTGCACCCCATGGGAGACCAGGAGAAGCACCTGGCTCCTGCCTTCGGATCAGCGCAGTGCACCGGCCACAGCGCACCGGCCGCAGCGGCCATTGGAGGGTGAACCAATGGCAAAGGAAGACCTTTCTCTCTGTCTCTCTCTCTCTCTCTCTCACTGTCCACTCTGCCTGAAAAAAAAAAAAAAAAGGTGATGGGGACCTAGGAAAACCAGGAGTCTGGCACACAGATAAAAGGGCCTGTGAGGACCCAGAGAGCAAGGAGCCACCTGCAAGCCAAGGAGAAACCAACTTGCCAACACCGTGATCTTGGGTTACCAGCTCCAGGACTGTGCATGACAACATTTCTGCAGCTTAGACCAGCCAGTCTGTGATATTTCTATTATGGCAGCTCCAGTAGATTAACATAAAAGTTTTTATTTTTGCTTCTCGTTGCTCACTGCATCCCATTAAGTTTTCCTGACACGTCTGCATGTGACAAGCAGAGCTCTAGGAGCCTGCTAAACAGAATGAGAAAGAGATGGGCTGGGCCAGACCCTGTTCCCGCTGCTCTATGAGTACCAGATGCGACGGCAGAGAGAAGGAAAAGACAAGATTCCCTAACTCAGATGCTGACAGACACTGTGACCCAAGTAAAACTAAATGCTACGAAAACAAAGGGGAAAATAAAACCACCCTAACTGGGGAGTCGGGGAACAGGTGGGGTGGCCATCAGGGAGGGCTTCAACAGGGACTCTGACAGAGGCACAAAAGAGAGGAGCATTCCATGTGATGGAGCAACTCAAGCAAAGGCCAAGAGATACTCAGAAACCCAATGCCCAGGCGGGGACCAGCAAGCCAGCAGGCAGCATCATGGCCAAGGTTGGGCAGACAGAACTGTGACACAGCAGATGGGACCCAGCAGAGACCAGTGCCCCTAGAGGCCAGGCAAGGAAGTATGGACTTGGGCAAACGAGGACCATAAAATTAGGGGCAGCAGAGTGGACACAGAGATTACAGTGTCCCTTTAAGATAAACTCACGTTCTGTCTACTTTCCAAGGAACTTGGAACCTTCATTATCTATTACCCTGTTAACTCAGACGTGGGGGAGCAGGTGCTATCTGCAGTGACTTCCAAGCTGGGATCCAGGGTAAGTGACAGTTGTGGAAGAGAGTCACAAGCCAGTGTGAGGCGGACAGGGAACTGAAGGTCCGAGCTCCAAGTTCTGCAGGTCAGAGCCCCAGGCTGCAGACACTAATACTGTGCTGCCACCATCTCAGTGCCTTTTCTCAGAGCAGAACCCTGCCGCTCTCCCTCCAGCTCACTCGACGCGACCTCGACCCTCACCCAGGCAGGGCCAGGGAAGCACAGGCTGGATGCAGAAAGAAGGGAAGAAAGCCACTCTTGTTTCTGAGCATCCAAGAGCTCGGGATCAGCTGATGTCCAGGGCAACTTAAAGGGCTTGCAAGAGTTCTTCTGACTTTAAAGGACCTCCACCCGACACGCTGTCTGTGGACTCCTACCCCTGCACGAGAGGAGCTTCGCCTAGCTTCCTACATGTATCTGATGCACCACCTCAAGTCTCCTAACAGAAACGGGAAAGGGAAGGAGCACAGTGGTTGCTGCTAACTTGGGTGGGTTCCAGGCAGCTTTACTGGGACAACTTCCTGACTGAGGGAACACATGGACAGCAGAAATGTAGGAAAGGGATCGCACAAACCACACTGATACAGACCCATCAAATAGCAGGCAATTTCCAAAGAACATTTTCAAACAAAGCACTCCCATAGCCCCCTTCTTCACCTGAGCCCATGGGCACTGTCTTACAACAAGAGTTTAAGGCAGCCCCTTAAGACATCAAATGTGAACAGAGAACGACCATAGGTTTAAAGCACAAATACCAACGAGGAAAGTCAAATGGCTGGCAAGGCCAAGAGAAGGGGAAGATGTAAAACAGTGTTTGCCTTTTTCATTACCTTTAACACCTAGCATGTATAACATACTTCCCATCCGAAGATAGGAAGCAATCAGATTTATGAAAACATGGAGGAAGATTTTAGCTTCGGGGTCCACATCATCTCATGAGAAAAAGCGTAAGGAAAAGCCTGGGGGTTTCACTGTCAAGACTGTGAGTGGACAACTTGGCAGAGAGAGGAGTTATAAAACTCCTCCTACAGAGACATGGAGCGAGCACAGTCACATTAGAAGATAAAACCTGGAGCACAGTGGGTCAAGCCTCTGCCTGCAGTGTCCACATCCCATATGGGCGCTGCTCGAGTCCTGGTTGCTCCACTTCTGATCCAGCTCTCTACTATGGCCTGGGAAAGCAGTGGAGGATGGCACAAATCCTTGGGCCCCTGCACCCACGTGAGAGACCCAGAAGAAGCTCCTGGCTCCTGGCTTCAGATCGGCACAGCTCTGGCCGTTACAGCCATTTGGGGAGTGAACCACTGGATGGAAGACCCCTCTTTCTCTCTCTCTCTCTCTCTCTCTCTCTCTGCAACTCTGCCTTTCAAATAAATAAATAAATCTTTAAAAAGAGAGAGAGAGAGAAGAGTCAAAACCTAAATCTTTTAATTTATTGCTGCATTGCTCTGTGCTAACAGGCACTACATATAATTATGAATTTGCAAAGCAGTAACAACCTACAGTTCCCACTTTCCTCCAGTGGAGATTGCAGTGGTCCTGAGCCAAGTGCCATACAAGGTCAAACAACTTGGGCTTCAGGAGCTACAGCAGGCCCTTTAAGAGCAAATGCAACTTAAACAAAAAGATACTTACCCCACACTTGATTGTTCTAAAATTCAAGCGAAGTTTTCACGCACAAAAAGCTCTCAACAAAAGAAAGCAGAAGTGCCATACCTCAAAGTTACAGATTTATCCTGGTAACCAGGGGGAGAGAGGAAGAAAGTCTGAATGTGGAAGCCACATTTAGCACATTTAGCCTTCTGGAGCTAGAAGGAATAGGCCCAGGGCCATCACAACACCCCACCATCAAATCCCAGCACAACCCTGACCTTACCATAGTCTTTTTACTCCCAGAGCAGGCCAAATTGCCTAATGAGTACAAGGAGGACGTTAGGCAACACAATGCTGACCCAGCTCCCTGAGACAGCTGGCAGATGCAGAACTGAATGGCTAACCCATTGACGGTACTGCTGTGAGACACTGGCTGGATGTGTGATTTTCACAAGATGGGGATCCAAGTCAGAGTCCTGCCAAGACATTTGGTTAAACCTCATCTAGCTACTCACCCATATTAGATAGAGATTCGAATTCTCTGGGGAAGCTTTATCGCAACAGACCTTAAACACCACCCTCAAATTCAGCAGCCTCTGCACTGCCTTCTCTCACACATCAAGTAACCAGACAACATCAAAGCACAAAATTCAAATCCGAAATTAAGCCTGGTGTGGCTGGGCCTCAATAGACAGAGGTTTTGTAATAATTCAGCAAAAAATAAGAAACTTGCATTTCAAAGTACAGAATCTGAGAAACAGAGGCCACTCCTGACATCCTTTCTTGGGGAGGCTTGGCAAGCAGGCACACCATCACCACGTGGCCCTGAGATGCGAGGGGAAAAAAACTGCAATAGGAAATCACGAGTTTAGCAACTTCCGAAATCTAGCCGGCCCATGCGAGTGTATATTATTTTCCATCTGATGTATCTTTTTTTTATTGGCGTAACAAAGCAGCAAGACAAAGTAAATGCCCTTGAATATGAAACAGAGCTGAGATGTGTGCCAAGTCAGAAATGGAAAAAGCCCAATGAGTAAGAGCACATATCTTCAACATCAGCACACCCGGGGTGAGTCAAAACACACAGCTGTGTGATGTCTACTCGCCTCCCTCTGACTTCTCAGAATCAAAGCAGAATCCCCACCCATGGAAGTCACCAATCAGTTCCACCAGTCTTACCTTAAGCAATGTACACACTCGCCACATTTGGAAGGGAAAAGAAGTTCTACCTATTCAAGCAAGCATAGGAAGACTAAGATACCTTATATAGTCCTTACTTTCAAAATATTCTGGGTTTCATTCCACTTGTTTGTCCATTCCTTGGTCAACTCTTGGACCTACAAAGAGAAACAAACACCTGTGATTGCTCCACCCAAAAAAATAAATAAATAAAAATTCATATGATTTTCTTGTAGAAAACCTCTAAGTTCTCTTAGCTTATGAAAGGATACACTCTAATTTTTTTAATTAAGTCCCAATTTCTACCCTTGAAAGAACCATCACCACATATAAATCAAACAAGCTCATCTTCTCCTACAAACTACATTAAGGCCAAAAAAGAACAGACATAAATTTGTCAAGTTGCCTAGAATTTTACAACAGTCTTTTTCATGGGGACACTTAAATAAAAGCTGCTTCCTCCAATTCTTAACCAAAATTACAAGTTCAAGGATGACAACATTCTATTAAAGGGGTTAAATTTTCCTGACTGTACTTCAGGTCCTAAGAAACAGTGATTTACTTTTCTTTCTAATTAAATGTGGTGATCAAATCACCTTGGATGCTACAGTTTTCTTTTAGGAGATAATTTGCTTTTGTAGTTAATTAATAGGGTTTATAAATCTCATTCTATCTTTTTAGAAAAAAGGCAGTACTTTAATTGACTCTTTGAGTAAAAGCAAAAATCTTTTGATAAGAATCAGCTTCTTTCCAAGCAGCTGTAACTTAGAGGAGAAAACACCCCCAATTGTTGAACACAGCAATTTGGAAATTACTTCTCAAAGTTAATGGAAATACTCTTCCAGTTCCTTAAAACTTTTTATATGATCCTAGTGATTAATCCACTAAGAAGCAAAAAGGGATACCTGAACTGAGGGGTAGGAAAAAAATAAAAATGAAAACTGTGTTCTGTGGAAAGGAATACACTAGGGCTACACCAGGACTCTCCGCGAGGGAAGAACTCCTCCTCTCAGCACCTTTACCAGTCCAGCTACCTCCTCACTCCCGACAGCCATCGCCCTCCATTGACACCCCCTCTTCCTCCCACCAGTAGGAAGAAATTAATGTGCAGGGCACTTCTGCTAAGAGGGAGATGCTCACATTAAGTGTAGTGACTGGAAAGGGCACTGGTGTCAGCCACCTTTGTTACCGACCAGAAATGGAGGCGCTGGGGTGATGGCTCACTCACCAATATGCAATCCTTCCCAGTCCTTCATCTCATTCCTTAATCTGCCTCACATAAGACAATCGGAGAGCCAAGCACCTTAAAAGATGTCTACCTTTACCATTATGAGTGTCAAAATCTACCATCTTCTTGGTCAACAACAAAAGAAACGGAATTGAAAGACCCTTTCTAACTTTTTTATGATCTATGAAGATCACCCTGATTTATTCAAAACCAGTCATAGACTCCAACCCTACAGACTGAAACGATAGCAATGAAATTCTCATGGCTATCGGGGCTGTTGTTTTCAAAAAGCTTTCAGGATGAAAATACTCTTATCCCTTCCTTTCCTACAGCAGACTAAAAGATTGGCATACTGAATCTGCCAATTTGTACGAAGCAGAGATCATTAGCAATTTATCTGAGAATGCAAAGCACTCAAGAGGGACTGATTCTGCATTCTACCAAGAGGTATGTTCTCACTGAACAACTGTGAGCCAATCAATCCTTTTTAAATTCAATCAAATTATAGCATTAAATATGTGTATACATACATATATGCCTTGGATTTATTTATATTCATTTATATTTTTTTCTTTTTTTTTTCTTTTTTTTTTAACTTTTATTTAATGAATATAAATTTCCAAAGTACGACTTATGGATTACAATGGCTTCCCCCCCATACCGTCCTTCCCACCCACAACCCTCCCCTTTCCCACTCCCTCTCCCCTTCCATTCACATCAAGATTCATTTTCGATTATCTTAATATACAGAAGATCAGCTTAGTATACTTTAAGTATGGATTTCAACAGTTTGCTCCCACACAGAAACATAAAGTGAAAAATAATAGATGATTTTTTTTAATGATGATGAAATCAGAGCAGACCTATTGTCATGTTTAATCCCAGTGAGAGTCAAGTTGGGAATTGATAATTTCTTTTTTTTTTTTTTTAACAGAGGATCAGTTTAGTATGCATTAAGTAAGGATTTCAACAGTTTGCACCTCCCTAGAAACACAAAGTGAAATATATTGTTTGAGTACTCGTTATAGCATTAAATCTCAATGTACAGCACATTAAGGATAGAGATCCTACATGAGGAGTAAGTGCACAGTGACTCCTGTTGTTGACTTTACCAATTGACACTCCTGTCTATGGCATCAGTAATCTCCCTATGCTCCAGTCATGAGTTTCCAAGGCTATGGAAGCCCTCTGAGTTCTCCGACTCTTATCTTGTTTAGACAAGGTCATAGTCAAAGTGGAGGTTCTCTCCTCCCTTCAGAGAAAGGTACCTCCTTCTTTGATGACCTGTTCTTTCCACTGGGATCTCACTCGCAGAGATCTTTTGTCAGAGTGTCTTGGCTTTCCATGCCTGAAATACTCTCATGAGCTTTTCAGCCAGCTCCGAATGCCTTTAGGGCTGATTCTGAGGCCAGAGTGCTATTTAGGACATCTGCCATTCTATGAGTCTGCTGAGTATCTCACTTCCCATGTTGGATCACTCTCCCCTTTATTTACTCCATCGGTTAGCGTTAGCAGGTACTAGACTTGTCTATGTGCTCCCTTTGACTCCCAGTCCCTCCACCATGACCAACTGTGATCTAAAATTGATCACCTGGAACAGTGAGATGGCATTTATAAATCCAAAACATGTTTATACATAGATAGATGGATGTGCCTTGGATTTATTATGTCATTGTATCTGAATCAAATAATATTTATTTAGCACATTAATAAGGAATGCAAACACATGATATCACCTGTAACAATGTGACCAGGTGATATTTATAGCCATGTGGATAGCAAACAATTAAAAAGGGTCAATGAAAAAAACAGATAAAAACTTAGAAAAATGTTATGAGCAAGATCAGCAGGCATTTCTGTCACAGCATGTATAACGCATTCAAATTAAAATGTTTATTGGTTTCTATTAACTTGGTAGGTATTTATGAAAACTATTATGAGAAACAATTTAAGACCATATCCAGACATTTCACAGCATTCAGAATTAGAATTTGAAGCACTAAAATACAAAATTTCATGAGAAAAATAGGGATTAAGAAACTAACATTTTTCCTAATGCTATTATCAGTATATTAATCAGCCTAATTATCTAGAGAAGTGTCAACAGGTCCCTAACTACAACCCAATTTATAGCCTGCATATTGTGTATTCTTAAAAGACCTTTTACCAACAGAATCCAATTTTCTTTCTCAATCTCTTTTAACCATTCAGCAACATGAACACAATCTACTCCAAAAGCTGTTCTTAAAATCTGTTTCTCTTTGCCTGAAGCATTATTTTGCTCTCTGTTTTAAAAAACGAAAAACCAGTATAGAACCAGGTCAGCCGTGAAACGGGTTTTCACACAGCACCAACACAGCTGCTGACTTCGGCCCATCACCACTCTGGAGCCACTCCCTGTCTGGCTGCTCTCTGCCACCTTCTCCCTGCCTCAACTCACATCCAGCTTCAGAGAAAGTAAGCACCTACCTAGAAGAGTCAGAGGTCCTCCCCAAATGCTGAACATCCCCCCAGAAACAAAGTAAAGAGATGACAGAAAGCTAAACGGTGGCCACTGTTCAGTTATGGTGACCACAGCTGTTTCACAAATGTTGAACTGGGCCCCTCTCAATGTGGGTTCTTGGACGCTCTGATGACCCCAGCAGCTCACTGCTTGGTCAAGAGGACCTGCTTGTGAATTCAACTGCAGTGAACATGTGCCAGACAAATCCCATTTGCCACGACACAGAAAACACGATGCAATATGAGAGACCTTCCAATAGTTCTTGGGAAATGTGTATTAAGAAAAAACCAGGCGGGGCCGATGCTGTGGCTCAGCGGGTTAATGTCCTAGCCTGAAGTGCCAGCATCCCATATGGGTGCCGGTTCAAGACCCGGCTGCTCCACTTCCCATCCAGCTCTCTGCTATGGCCTGGAAAAGCAGTAGAAGATGGCCCAAGTGCTTGGGCCCCTGCAACCACGTGGGAGACCCGGAAGAAGCTCCTGGCTCCTGGCTTTGGAATGGCGCAGCTCCAGCCATTGCGGCCATCTGGGGAGTGAACCATTGGATGGAAGACTTTCTCTCTCTCTGCCTCTCTTCTCTCTGTGTAACTCTGACTTTCAAATAAATAAATAAATCTTTTAAAAAGAAAAGAAAAAACCATGCATGGATTGAAAAAAAAATTAAAAACCAAGTAAATTCACCTTAATTCCATTTTTCCATATACTTTTTGAAGTACCCTTACACATAAAAAAGTCAGCTGCTGTATTTCTTTAAAAATGATCATGGGAAGGGGAGTAAGGAGGGAGGCTCTGCGTAATGAATAACATGAATGTCAAGGAGTAGGTACCACAAAACAGTCACCTTAAAAAATAGTGAAAGCTGTGATCTAAAAAGCAAAAAGTCAGGGCCAGTGCTGTGGAGCCTCGTCCTGCAGTGCCAGCATCCCATATGGGCAACAGTTCTAGTCCTGGCTGCTCCACTCCCAATTCGGCTCTCTGCTGTGGCCTGGGAAAGCAGTGGAGGATGGCACAAATCCTTGGGCCTCTGCATCCATGTGGGAAGATTCAGAGGAAGCTCCTGATTCCTGGCTTCGGGTCAGCTCTGCTCCAGCCACTGTGGTCACATGGGGACTGAACCAGTAAGTGGAAGACCTCTTTTTCTCTCTCACTTTCTTTCTTTCTCTCTCTCTCTCTCTCTCTGCCTCTCTTTCTCTCTGTGTGTAACTGTGACTTTCAAATAAATAGATAAATCTTTAAAAAAGAAAAAAAGCAACAAATCAAAGTATCACTTACTCTGGCTTCATTTTGCTGAAGTTTTTCTTCCATACTTAAAGCTGTGGGGGAGTCCAAGAGGGCGATCTAGAATTCAAAGCATAACAAATATCAGCAATTAGCAAACAGCAACAATCCAGAAAAAGAATTTTTCCATAAATAAATTATCAAAAATTTCCACAGAAACCAACAGAGGTGAAAAGTAAGGCCCTACATTCTCCTAAAAAGTACCAGTTGTCTCAAGTATTTAATCTATGAGACACACACTTCATAGTATCAGAACCATGGCACCCTGGCGAGTCTACATTTGCAATACTACTCAGTAAGGGGAAAGACACCACACACTGAGGTTTCACCAAAATCAAGCCATCTAAACCCCTAGATCTTCAGGATCTACCCATATGAGCATGCCTGAAGTATAAAATTCACTGGGAACATGCCTAAGTCTCCCACAACTCCAGGCTCCTGAGGTTCACCAACAGTGAACAAAAAGAAAGAAGCTCATTTATATTCACTGTAGAATGGCATTGCAGGGATGGTTACACTATAATCTATCCATTTTGGAAAAATGTAAGGACTGTTGACGTGAGAATGATAAACATCAAAATCAGGTTAGAACCGGGAGGGACAAGCAGATGGGGACAGAAGAGGAAAATGGAGCCGGGGAGGGCTCACTCAGAGCATGTTCATCCCTGGCCTGGACACAAGGCTCCCTATTCTGTGTGCTTTCTCACTGCCTGGGATGTCTTTGGGAAGAAAGAAAGGCAATGTACCTCCCACCCCATCCACAGGCAAGCACTCTTCCCCAGTTGGGCACAAAATCTGGAGTAACTTTAGTCATATGCAAGTACGTCTGCGTTGCTTCTAATTTATATTTTAATTTATACTGCTTTTAGCTTATATTCTAAAGATTGCCTTTTTCACTCAATAATATGTCTTCTAAAATACTCAGTAAAAATAAACCTGCTTCAGTCATAATCATTTTGGTTCCATTTACAGTGTGTCATTATATATACTCTGTAATTTATGTAATTATTAGCACTCCCCGATTAATGTAAACATAGTGGGGGCTTTTTTGTTTGTTTGTTTTTCCCTAATCTTTTGCTTTACCAACAATACTACTTGTAACCCATCTGGCTATGGGTTACAAGGCTGTGTCACTGGAACACAGAAGGGGAACTGGCAAGTCATCTATATGCATGATTTTTTTCTTTAATTGCCAAGTTGTCCTCTGTAGAGGCCACAGTATTTTTCTCATTGCTATTTATTTTCCACTTTCTGTTCAAACTACAACACTCAAAAGGCATTCTTCCTAGGCTCAGTTAAACAACTTCCTTTCACACGATGGAAGTTCTGCATCATAAAGGGAAATGTGTGTGCAGATGTTTTCAAGTTCAATAAATAATTCCTGTGCATCTGCTATCCACCTCTTGTGGGAAAGAGCTGCCAGGTATATTTCAGGCTATAGGAAATTCAGTGAGGTTTGCACCCTGTCTGTATTTTCACAGATCAAACCATTTATGGGATGTCAAGAGCTCAAGTGTCATCTATTCCTACATAGAAGGCACTACTGTAGAGACACCACTTGCATGTAAAAAAAAAAAAAGGATTTCTTTTCATAACACACTTGAGACATCCATTCTTGGGTTAAGAAATTGGAAAGAAATGTATTTGTATCTTTATTTTATTTCTAGCTTCACTCTAACTTCAACCTTTTAAAAAGCAATCCTTGATTTTCTTTCAAGGGTGGCCTTTCTTCACAGAAGAATCTAACCCTACTAGAACTTAACACACTCTATTCATCACAGAACATAACTCTGCACACACACTAGGCACACTCTAAATAGATTTATTGTGAAAACACAAAAGGACAAGGCTTTGTTCACTAGAATCCCAAAAGCTCTTAGTGAGGCCATTTCAACAATTCAGCAAGGCTCGCACACAGTATCTCTGCCAGGCCCCAAGCATCATACCCCATGTGTCACTGAGTCACCACAGTCACCTCTGTGATGGGCGACAGGAAGCAGAGATTCAGAAAGGTGTTCAACCAAGTCTTTCATTCTGTTAAAACACGTTTTAAAGTCATAAAATGCATGGGTAGAATTTTAACTATTACTCTAAGCATCTCAATTTCTTTCCACTAATGGAGATTATGCTGCTAATCCTATTGCATGCTAAATTTCCATCCATAATTGATAACTATTAGATAGTTAATCATTTCAGGTTTAGTGGATAGAATCTTACACACGTAGCACATAATGAATGCAAAGGCCAATAGGAGGCTGATGTAGAGGAGAAACTGGCTAACTCATTCAAAGCTTTACTTAGCACTTATTTACTCAAATCAATAGTAGGAGCGAGATAATTGTCTCATTAGGATCCAGAAATAGATGCCATTACTCAAAAGAAAATCATCCGTAAATCTCAGAAGAACCCAACCTGATTCCCTTGCGCAAGCAGCATCTTCAGCCTGGCTATTTCAGCTCTCAGTTCACGGATGAGTTTGACGTTGGCGTCCTCATTAATGGTAGGCTTGTTGATGATGTTTTTGGCTCTATTTGCATAGCGAAGAGTACTTAGGGTTTCTCCGTAATTGACATCAGCAGGTGAAATGGCTGTGAAGAATGAATTCAAAAAATAATTTATCCAGCACTCCATGTTTCATTTAACACAAAGTTGGTGTGTAATTTAAAAGTCAGATTAACCCCAGGTCATTGAATAGACTAAATATTCATTGCCACTGCAATGAATATTAAAAATTATCTAAGATTTATAAGAAAGGGTGCTCACAAAACCAAAACACTAAATTAAATGTCACTTTGCTCTTCTGAAGTCTACAATCAGCCATCTAAGATGAGATGCCTCACTGTAGGTAGTTTTTTCAGTTGAAAACATAAGACAGATACAATTTCAAGACCACATATTTCAAAATTAAGTAGGAATCAAATAATCTTAAAAGTTTTGTCAAAGCTTACCACCTGGAAACACCTGAAGCAGATCAGGCAATTCTTGCTTTCCTCAAGCATTGGTTAAACTCACCCCCCATCCCCCGACCGAAGTGAAGGGTTAAGTGACAACACCACTTCATGTGGAGTACACACCCTAAGGTAGGACCCTTGTCTCCACAGTGAACAGGTGTGCTGGTCATGGCAAGGACGTGGCAGAGGGGAAGGGCAGAGTGGAAGGAACAGAGGGTGGAGAGCAGAGTACGGCAGCAAATAGTTCTTGAGTTTGCCGCAATTATTCTCTCCTCTCTCTCCAGTTTTTTTTTTTTTTCTCTATGCTGTTTCTTTCAGTGAATTGGTCAAAATGCAGAAATAAAGTATATTACTGTTATCATTATTTGTCATATGTATTGTTCTTCCTGTCAAGTTTTAATTTTAAATTCTACATTTACTATTTTTAAAAGAAAAACAACATTGGGTTATTTTTATTCTATGCCCCTGTAATGCTTTCTTTCTATGAATGAATGATATTAAGTTTCTATCTTACACTTTAAGCAAAGAAAACTGCAGATTATCACAGCTTTCATAACACAGGGAAGCCCTATACAGTGAATAATAATATACTGTATTATTAAATCACAAAACATAATTGTCTTCAAGGTAGAAAGACCATTCATTTTTCAAGAAACAAAAGGTGCTATATATTAACAAGACACTTCAAGATGCAGGATTTCCAGTTAATTTGCAGGAACCATTGGATGCTAAGGAAAATAACTTAAAACTCTTACTGGCAATCATGATGGTTTTAGAGTTTCCTCCAAGGCTATCTTTTAACAACCAAGTCAAAACAGAATCCCTGTAAGGCACAAAAACCTGCTTCTTCTTTACAAGAGGGTTTGCTGCATCCTGAGATAAATCAGCTGTAGAGGGGGAGAAGGAAAAAAAAAGGGGGAAGAGAGGATAATTATTAAAGTTTGTTTTTCACTAATTTCACTTGCAAAAAATCTTGAGGAAATTGCCTCGGTTTGCAACACAGACTTTGAACAAATCTGCCTCGTGCTGCTGTGGCACCATGAGGAGAAAGAGGCGGCAAGGGACGCGCGCAAACCCACCTAAGGCAGAAATGACGTTTCCCAAGGTCACCAGAGACTTGTTAATGTTTCCCCCTTCCTTCAGCCTAACCCCGGTGGCACCGGTGGCATCCGCACGCTCACTTCCGGCAAGATCGACTAAGTGGATCTTGCTCACGGTTTCACATGGCATTTCAGAATCAAATTTTGCCTGTGGTAAGACATAAAAGTGAAACTGAGGAGGTACACAGGGCCCTGATGCTGTTTGCGATACAAATTCTAATTATTTTCCACTCCTCACTGAGATCTCTCGGGGTAAGATTTTGTTTTCATTTTGCCATTTTACTGGCCTTCAACCTGATTACAGAATCTTCCCAAGAGGAACTCAATATGATGGAAGTCTATCATGATGCCTGATGACGCCTTCTCTCAGATCGCTCAGTCGCGCTTGACAAAGGCCTCCTGAGGCCGCAGTGAAATCGGAGACCAGGCTCTGAGGGCCACTCACCAAAGAAAATGGAGGCAAACAAATAATGAGTACTATTCTCTTCCAGGCTCCCCAGCAGTCCAAGCTCAGAGGCGCTCCAAGATGTGACAAATACAGAAAGGTTATCTGACCATTACTTGGTGTTACAACATTTTGCTTTACCAATTACTTTTTATGTGAAACCTAGAAAACTATATTCTCTGCTTCCAAATTCTACCAAAGCTTTATTTTCCCATTGAGTCTTAAACTACATAGCAAATTTGGAACCAAAATGCAAAAACAATACACATTTCGAAAGAAAGGTAAGCTTCTTACAAACTAGAAGAGGTCATAGCCTAAACAAGCAATAAATAGAAAGCAGGAGAAAACTCAGTCAACTACAGTAAATCACATGACAAGGCCTAGCAAAAGGTGAAGAGGTGGCGAATTTTAGGAGTTGCTCTGGGTGATCCTCGACAATTGTTTTCACTTTCGTGCTCTCTGGCCCCCTCACTGGTAAAATGCTGTCTTCCGCTGGCTGATGCCTGCAACTGTAACTGCAGGTGAGGGCATCCCCACCCTTGGAACACATGCACAAGCTGCGACAGGTCCAACAGGTTTTCTTAAGATTGATTTATTTATGTGAAAGGCAGAGATACATAGAAGGAGAGTGGGAGAGAGACAATCTTCTATCTGCTGGTTCACTCCCCAAATGGCCACAACAGAAACCAGAAGGCAGGAGCTTCCTCCAGGTCTCCCACATGGGTGCAGGGGCCCAAGCACCTGGGCCATCCTCTGCTGCCTTCCCAGGCACATTAGCAGGGAACTGGATCAGAAGTGGAGCAGCCAGGACTTGAACCGGCGCCTGTACGGGATGCTGGCACTACAGGCAGGGGCTTAACCTTCTATGCCACAGCGCCGGCGCCTGACTTGGATATTTTTACATTCAGGTGTTCTACTGGCCTTGGAGTTAAAACAGTCACCCTCAGGAATTTCCACATGGCTAGAAGACATTCTCCAGCCCTTGGTCATAATGAATTCCTACATTAGGACTTATAAATGTCCCTTGTCCTGTAACATCATCCTAATCATCACCATCAACACTGCAGGCCAGGCTCCATGGGGCGACAATGGCCTCCAGCCGGTCTCACTCGCAATCCTTTATCTCCTGCAGAGCTCGCCACAGTGACAACTTTGGCTTAATTAAGCACAGAGCAAGTTTTTCCTTATGCCTAGGACAGAGCAAGATGCGTGCTAAATATTTCTTAAGGGGATGCATCCGGACATTTCAAATGACTGTGACTGTAACCACGGAGAAACCCAGAGCGCAGCACATGTTTGACTCTAATTAACAGGAAAATGACAGTCAGTCACCTTTGCCTGCTGCCACTCCTGGTTCAACAGTGATCAGTCCTCAGCTGGTGCTAATCAGCCAGTCATGACCTCCAGGACGGCACCGGACGGCCCCACAGCTGCCTTACCTGAGTGAACTTGATGGTGAAGATGGCATGAGACCTACTGCTGACATCATTCATGCCAGTTGCGGCCGTGGTCCGATTGATATTTCCTGCATCCATAAGTTCTTCCACATCACTGTAATTCTGTACCAAGTGTTTGGATAAATCTGGAAAAAAAAGGGGGGGTGGGGTGGGGGTCGGGAGTGAAGTAATCACTCTAACATATAGTAAATGGAGTAAGAAGTTTCCCTCTATGAAATGAAATAAGAACTGTCCAAATCTGCTGACTTGATGAAAGATCTTGTTTCTGGAATGTGTTGCTATAAAACCCAGTCTTGGGGCTGGTGTGCAGCAGGTTAAAGCCCCAGCCTACAGCGCCAGCATCCCATATGGGCACCAGTTCAAGTCTCAGCTACTCCTTGTCCGATCCAGCTCTCTGCTATGGCCTGGAAAAGCAGTAGAAGATGGCCCAAGTCCTTGGGCCCCTGCACCCATGTGGGAGAACTGGAAGAAGATCCTGACTCCTGGCTTCAGATCAGCTCAGCTCTGGCCATTGCAATCATTTGGGGAGTGAATCAGCAGAATGAAAGACCTCTCTCTCTCTCTGACTCTACCTCTCTGTAACTCTCTCAAATAAATAATAATAATAAAATAAAAAACAAAACCCAGTCTCGGGAGCTTACTACAAAATCCAGCTCTGTGGCTTACTAGCCGTGGACTTCATGGTTTCAGACAAGTTGCCTAGTCTCCCTGTGCCTCCGTCACCTCGCCTGATCTTGTGAACCTACCACACACAATATTAAGAATGAATATTAGTTTTCAACATCAACCTCATTTGCACCAGTCACAGCATACAGAAGAAAATTGCAAAAGCGTTACATTCCTGCTAAGCCCAAAAATACGTTTTTAAGTCCTTTAAATAAACTGTCATCTTTTTATTTTGAACATTCATATAGTTCCAAAGACAAAAAGTATACTGTGTAAAGAGACCCACTCCTCCCCTTATGCTATAAACCAAATGATATAAGTTTCCCCATTCCCTACTAGAAACAATCCACACAAACACAGGCAATTACATGTATATAAAACATCTCTCTTTCCTCATTTACAAAAACAGTAGCATACCATAAATATAATGTTGTACCTTGCTTTTTAATGTAATGATATATTGAACATTCTGTATTGGTTCATGTGGTTTCTCATTCATTTTTAAGCCTACAGGGCATTCGATTGTATGTTTGCACCATAATCAATTTAACCAGTCTCCTATTGAGACTATAGAAGCTGTTTATATTTTGTTTCCAATTACAAGTAATGCTGCTACAAATAATCTTGTACATAAGTCTTTTCAAATGTCTACCAATGGTTCACAGAATTAATTTTGACAGATAGAACTGCTGAATCAAAACACATTTGAAATTTTGATGCATATTGCAAAATTGTCCTCCACACAGTCAGCATCCCATACAGGACAATTTGCACCCAACAACAGTAACATGTAAGACAGCCTGTCTTGGGGGTGGGTATTAGGCCTGGCAGTTAAGAACCTGGTTGCAAGGCCCACATTCCACACCAGAGTGCCTGGGTTTGACCCCCAGCTCTATTCCTCACTCTAGCTTCCAGCTAATATAGACCCCCACCCCCGGTAGGCAGCAGTGATGGCTCAAGAGAATGGGCTCCTGCCACCATGTGAGAGACTTTGATTGTGTTCCTATCTCCCAGCTTCAGCCCCTGGGCCATTTTGGGCATGTGGAGATCAACCAGTAGAAACTTCTACTCCCTCTCTACCCACATCACAAATAAAACTTAAAAACACAAACAAAAAAAGAGTGCTTCTCTCCCAACACACTCTCCAGTACCATCTATTCAGGCATATGTATGTCTACCAAAGATGGAGAGGAGACAGATATTATCTTAAGTATTTTTATTTTGCTTTTCTCCTTTTTTATGAGCAAGGCTGAGCATTCCATGAGTACTTTCACCTCTCTGAGCAGCCTATCTATAGCCTTTGTCCATTTTTCTATTTGGCCATTGGATCTGCCCTATGGACTTAAAGGAACTTTTCACATATTAGGTAAATTAGTCATTTGACTGAAATTTGAAAATACTTTCTCAAGTTTTGAAGTAAGTTTTTTACTTTGCTTATTACAGGGTTTCTGCCAAGTGTAAAATTTTATCTTATTTTTATTATTTCAAAATTAACATCTTTTCTTGAAGGATTTCGGGCTTCAAATCACATTTTTAGAAGCTTTCCTTCCTCCAAGTTTCTAGAAAAATTTAACTCATGATGTCTTCTAACCATTTTATCATTTCATAATTTACATTTAAATATTTGAACCATTTACCATTTATCCTGGTGTAAAAACTGAACTATAGTACCAGCTTACTTTTCTTTTCCTCCTAGCAGTTCTTTTTAAGATGTATGTATGTATTTAAAAGGCAGAGGGACAGAGAGAGAGATCGTTCATCTGCTGGTTCACTCCTGAAATGCTCCAATAGGCAGGTCTGGACGGTCTCGCACATAGGTGGCAAGGACCCAAGAACTTGAGCCATGTTCCACTGCCCTCCCGGGCACAACAGCAGAAAGCTGTATTGGAAGCAGAGTAGCCAGGCCTCAAATCAGTACTCTGAAGTGAGATGCCAGCATCGCAAGTGGTGGCTTAACCTGCTGCACCACAACACTGGCCTGGCCTCCTAGACAACTGAGTAACCCTTACTCCTCTGATGCTTGAAGAGCACATTTATTAGAAACTAAATCCCACAAGTATCTAGTTCATGCAACAGTTTTTATGGTTTTTGAAATCTGATAAGACAATTAAAAGGAAAACATGAACACACATGCTGAATTAAAAACTCTTAACAATCATAGTTATTCCATGGGCCACAAAACAGCTACTTAGGGTCATACTTTGCTTTCAACACAGAAGGCAACAGCTCAAATGGACATTCAATAAAATATATGCTGGGTCCTATAAGTGTATCTGATATTTTCAGATGAAAACAACCATCAAATATAGGCACATCTTTAAGCCCATGGCCAGTTCTCAGTCTTGCCTCCAAGGAGACACACACGAAGAGCAGCACCCACATGGAAGTGCCTCTTCCATATGTGTCAGATTCCTGCAGGCTGGCCATCACTCAGCCACCTTGTGCACGGTGCGTCGGCTATGCTACAAGGATGGCCTTGTGGCATCCCCACCACTGACTGGGCCACTGCTAGTGTGTCCCAGCACAGATGCTCACAGCCACACTTAGGACCTCTGGCAAGCGCTCTTGTCAACAGACGGGAGGTATTATCTTTCCTGGCCGTATCAGCACTGGGACCGGTGACAATTCACGGCTAAAACACAATGCCACTAAAAGACACTAAAAGACAGATTGTAGGCTCGCTTGTCATGCTTGAGAACACGAGAAAACAATTTCTAGGGATCACCTTCTGCCAGAGGAAACCATTGGGCAGCCTCACAAAACCAGTGAAGGCCAGGGACATAGGAATCCATTAAGTGAACACTGGGAGGTGACGGCTCATGCCATGTCTACTGTAATAAACCAAAAGCAAACACATTTTTGTCTGTCTCAACATAACACTATCCTTTCTGTGTTGGAGAGTGTTGTGTTTACACTGATTTTTAGGCAGAAAAGGGTTAGGAATCAATCTCTCTTACCTTCTACGTAAGGTCCTTCTTTGGGATGCTCACGGACTCTTAAATTGAAGGTCTTAGACGACTTCCGCCTAAGCAGATCTCTCACCCGTTCATTGTAAATTTCTAAATAGCTAAAAAAAGTGTTAAATAGAATTAAATTAAGAAATACAAATCTAGACAAGCATAATAGTCCTAACAGCAAAATGCTTAGCGGCAGCAACACACATTTGTCGGGGAGGTAACTCTGGATTACCCTGGATTGTCTACACAGTGACCCAGAGTGGGGTACAACTGTCATTCTCATTTTTCAGGTGAGGCAAGGGCATTTAGAGTGATATAAATAACTTGTGCAAGGCCACACAGCCACCAAAAGGCCAAGCAGCTATGAGACCCTGGACTGACCAGTCCACACTCATAGCCATTGAGGCAGCTACACTAGCTCCCCACAGGTTTCATTTCAAAGAGGAAAAGTCATGTGAAGCATTCAGATTTATTTGTGTATTAGATTTACAGTGACTCTACCAACATAAAGAATAACAGAAAGAGGCAAGGGGGGCTGGCACTGTGGCGCAGCAGGTTAACGCCCTGGCCGGAAGCACCAGCATCCCATATGGGCTCTGGTTTGAGACCCGGCTGCTCCACTTCTGATCCAGCTCTCTGCTATGGCCTGGGAAAGCAGTAGAAGATGGACCAAGTCCTTGGGCCCCTGCATCCGCGTGGGAGACCTGGAAGAAGCTTCTGGCTCCTGGCTTCAGATCAGCACAGCTCCGGTCATTGCAGCCAATTGGAGAGTGAACCAGTGGATGGAAGATCGATCAATCGATCGATCTCTCTCTCTCTCTCTGCCTCTCCTCTCTCTGTGTAACTCTGACTTTCAAATAAATAAATAAATTTAAAAAAAGAAAGAAAAGAAAGAGGCAAGTACATGGGTGTCTGAGATAAATGCTACAGTGTCTGACCAAGCTGTGTTCTCTCTACCAGCCTCCCAAACCCTAACCCAAACTGAACCAAGGAAGCCACTGAAACCTTACTCTTTTAAGCTCTATGCCCAATTGCCACGGAGTGGGAGGGAAAGAGCAGACTCCCCTGGAATGCAAAGGCCTTATCCAGCCCAGCACCTAAGAGCAAGCCAAGCAGCCAGGGCTCCAACCAAGCTCACACCCAGGCACTCAGGCCACAGGCGCTACCTGACTTCTGTTCGGAAGGATGCCTCATCCCATCTGGTGGTTTCATTTATGCGACTGAAGAGCCCTTCACAGATGCGAGGTATCAAGCCGGAGTCCCCCTGCAATGGGAAGGAGAATGTCACAGCTGTCCCTTCAAATAAAAGCAGCTCTTGGCCGGCTCCGCAGCTCACTAGGTTAATCCTCCGCCTTGTGGCGCCGGCACACCAGGTTCTATTTCCGGTGGGGGTGCCGGTTGCCCCTCTTCCAGGCCAGCTCTCTGCTGTGGCCAGGGAGTGCAGTGGAGGATGGCCCAAGTCCTTGGGCCCTGCACCCCATGGGAGCGTGGTGCGCCGGCCGCAGCGCGCCAGCTGCGGCGGCCATTGGAGGGTGAACCAACGGCAAAGGAAGACCTTTCTCTCTGTCTCTCTCTCTCTCACTGTCCACTCTGCCTGTCCAAAAAAAAAAAAAAAAAGCAGCTCTTGACTGAATCTGCAATCTGGTGGAGTGAACTCAGATTCAGGGTCTGTCTACATGCCAATCCAGGCCTACCATCCCGAAACCCTCACACACCATTTACCACCCTCACCCCAGGGCAGCAGCCCACTCTCTGCAGTGAGATGCTGGAGCCTTCTGACTTGCACCTGCTGAGGCTATAGTAACACAGTCGACCCGCAGAATCTGAGAGGCATGCATAGGTTCCAAGACTCCGTCATCCCCACAGATAACAAAATCTGAGGATTTTATATTTTTATATGAAATGGCACAGTGGAGCTGGCATTGTGGCACAAAGGGTTAAGCTGCCACCTGCAATACTGGCATCCCATGTGAGCACCAGTTCAAGTCCCAGCTGCTCTACTTCTGATCCAGCTCCCTGCTAATGTGCCTGGGAAAGCAACAGAAGACGGCCCAAGTACCTGGACCCCTGACACCCACATGGAAGACCCAGATGGAATTTTAGGTTCCTGGCTTCAGCCAGACCCAGCCTCAACCATTGTGTTCATTTGGGGAGTGAATCAGCAGATGGTAGATTTCTCTACCTCTGCCTTTCAAATTAAAAAAAAAAAATCTTAGAAATAAAGGTACAGCATTCTTACATAACCTACATGCATGCTCTCATACACTTCAAATCATCCCTATATTACTTGCAATTCCTAACACTGCATCAAAGTTATACAAATATGTGTGTGTATCTATGTGTACATATATATATACACACACACATACATACATACATACATATATATATAGTTATATAGTCCTGTTTAGGGAGTAACAAAGAAAGTGTATACATGTTCAATACAGACAAAAGCACCATAGGTCTAAACACATAGCACACAAATGAAATGCGAGGTGAACAGTGCTCAAATAGCATGTGCTGGAGATAGACGACCCGTGAAACAGCAGGAGGCATTCACTTCCTTGGCATGGACTCAGCACGGGACTCACGGGAGAGGAAACTGAAGTTTGGCTCTTTGGAATCTTTTCAAAGATTTTCAACCTGTGGTCAGTTGAATCTGAGGATGAGGAGGGTTGACCATATGCGGTTAGCAGCTGCTAATTAGTTCAACACAGGACTTACTCGCTTTCAAACAAGGCAGTCTGCAACTGTAGAATCAAGTCAAAGGTATGTTGAAGACGGACCAAGGGAGGTGAAATATACACAAGGCAAAGAAAAATGAGGAAGACCTTCGTAGGTCCTCAAAGTGCTTAGTATTTGTCTCAAAGGTTAGTGACAGGACCACATTAAAACGTGTACCGCATCTCTCCTTTGATGCAGTGTCCCTACACTGGCCTTCCTGGACCACAAGATTGTAATACATCCTATTACCTAGACCACGTGGGTGGAATGCTCAGTAATTCACGTCTCAGCACAGACAAGCTGATGAAGCTCAGAATGACATCAGGTGAAATGATCTTGTTAGGAAACTAAAACTTCAGAGTTGCAACGTTTGCTTCTCGAATCTCCTCCTCCTGCCTTCACTATACTCTCCACCTCCAAAATACAACAGGTATCGTCACTGCTTTAAGACATATTTTGTCTTTGTACTATTCAATCAGTACCAATTCTAGCCAAAGAAAGTTGAGCCTTTCACCATATTTTGGTACTTACTTTAAAGTAAACAAATAAATAAGAATAGTCAAGTGTTTTTCAACTATAAGGTCAGAGAAAAGCAATTTTAATTTATGAGTGTTTTATAAATGTTTAATTTATATCAAATTGCCACTAGAGAATCAACATGCAAAATTTCACTTTCCTCAGAGGCACAGTAGGGAAGCAGGAAGAGAGAAGTGATGATAAAAGGAAAGGTAAAACTTCAAATTATCTGTTCCTTTTGTTTTTTCCTCCCTGCTTTTCAGCGTCAAGGACCCCCAACACAGCACTCATGGACATGTCACAGGAAGGAAGCCAGGTCACGGGCACTGAAAAATCCCATTGGGAAAAGACCCTGTTCTGCTCTAATGTTCTACTTCCAACTGCCAAACCTTTGGCACTGACGACACCACCAGCAGCATCCAGGCAGGAGACCCTCACTCCTCCATTCATTTCCCCCCTCGAGAACCTGCCATGGGTTTGGAAACTAAAACCACGAGCACTATGTCAATCTGGGGAAACAAAAAGCAACATCAAGTGCCCACGAGAACTTTGTTTTAACCCCTCTATATTTGGGCAGCAAGAATAACATCAATGTCTGCTTATGGTCTCATAACTAAGCTTTATATAGTGTGTCTATAACTCTACAAAAACTCTATATAAACTATAAAAAACTTTTGCATGCACTGGCTGGATTGACGTAGTACCTTTCCATCAAAAAGCTACTTTTTTTTACATTTTTTCTTGGTGAAAAATGTTTTGAATAGTTTTTTAAAAGAGCAGACTTCAATAATTTTATTCAAACTGTTGTGTTGGCAGGAAAGGAGAATAAATTACTGGTGGGGCCAGCATACTTTTCTGATAAGATTATGAGGCCTTTAAGAAGGGAAAATGAACTGGGACTTGCATCCATTATTCATGCTTATAAACTTAAAAACTATTTCTAATTTAAAATTTCTCAAAGGAAATTTAGCCCAAGTTATTACTGAGTTTTATCTTATTACTAAAAAATGATCCGAACATGAAAAGCAAGTTAGTACAGACCACACAGATAAAAGAGATAATTCTATTGGAACAGAGAGCGACGATAAGAAAGTTCCTCCCCGTGTGATATAAACAACTTACCGAGCTCCCCATCATGGTGTAGGACTTCCCAGATCCAGTTTGCCCGTATGCAAAGACACACGCATTGTAACCTTCAAATGCAGATTTCACAACGTCTGTGCCCAGGGTTTGGAAAACCTGAAAGCCAAAAGGAAAAACACACAAAAGAGACAATTACTATGAGTTTTAATAAAAGCCCCAGGAGCACTGACAATATTGTTGAATGCCACCTTTATCCCTTAGGGATTACCCTATATACATAAATCACTGTACAGCAGCTATCAACGGAATATGTATGCACCCCCGTTTTTTAATCAAAAGTAAACTTTTCAGGTAAGCAAAAAGCAACACCATTCTTCCTACTTAACAACAACAAAAATTCCTGAAACATAAAAATGCAAACAAGGCCAAGTGACACTCATGTCCCAAAGCAAAGGTGACTTGAATTACATAACTTCAGAATTACATTCAAGATTACATAAACTGATAAAGTTATTCATTCTCTCAGAACCACCAGAAACTAAACATTCAAAACCTGAAGATTACAAGAGCCAGAAATGACTGCCCAAATGATACCCAATCAGAGCCATCATTTTAAGCATCCACCAAGCCATCAAAATTGTTAGTCTCCGGGGCTTCTCCCATTGATGAGTGGGTGCGGATGAGGCTGGGATGGCAGCGCCCCATGTCAGTGTCCAGAAGCTCTTCTTGGTGTCCACCCAGGGTGGGGTGGGTGGGAGAAGCACAGTGTGGATCCTCGGTCCACACCCACAACAGCCTGAGTCCGTGTCCAGGGCACCACAGGACAATCTGGGCAGTGAACGAACAGGGTAAAGTACAAACAGTGCACGTGGACAAGCGATGTAAATGCAACGAATCAAGATGTGAGGTCGTCCTGGTTCCATCCAGCTGGCAAGGGTGACCTGAAGCTTCCCTGTGGCTTCCTGCACTCTCAGGCCAGCAGGAGGAGGGCAGGTAAAACATCTCCCCCCTTCAAAAAGTAAGCACAGCAGGGGCAGAGGAAATGTCAGAGAGGGAAGCCTGGTCAGACTCTCAGCCAGAGCCAGGGGAAGATGAGGTGCTCCCCCCTGTCCAAGGTGGGGGACGAGACCCCACAGGGACATTCAGTCTGTGAGAGGCGCCCTGTTGGCCAACTCATGAGACCCAGATGGGTGAACCACAAAGCCCTCCCCAGCTACTGCCAAACTGCCAAAAGCAGCAGATAGCCAAGTCTTTGAGATGTTCCACTGGCCAAACAGCTACCCGGGTTCCCTTAGAGATGACTGTAAGAGGGGCTGAGAATCCAAGGATCAAGGCTTTCCCAATCTCCCCAGGGGATTTCAAGGTATAGCAAACCTGAAAGGTGGCCCAGAGCACTGGCCTCTGCCAATCAGCACGGGCAACACTGAGAATCCTGTGTGGGGAGCCAGTGCCCCCCTGGGAGACATGTACAGACTGGGTGACATCAGACTAGGCACAGGGAAACCAACTGCCCTGCACAGTTGAGACCTCTGGCGGGACACCCGCACCCCACACAGGGCTGACAGGCCTGGCCATCTTGACTTCATCACCCCATAAACCACGCCCATTGACACTGCTCCTCATCCAGAGACCAGATGGGATGCCAGCACCCTGCCGGCACCACCTTCCTACCTATCGTCTTGTTTGGACTTTGTTTCTTTGATCTCCTCATTAAAAGACTGAACAAGCCATCGCTCCATTTCCCCAGTGACCAGCTCATTCCTTCCGAGTTAATGTTCAGCCACTTCAGCAGTAGGAGCTGCTATTTTCTGATGACTTAACTCTCAGCTACCACAGCAGCTCACATTTGCTGGGTACCTTTCTATACCCACTCAGGGGCTCAGGCACTAATCCTCATAAAGCCCCACAGGGCAGCAGTGTCACCACACCCACCTTTCAGATGAGGAAGCCAAGGGGAGAGGTTAGGTCACAGGGCACTCCAGTGCACGGCAGGGAGCAGCAGAGCCAGGTCGTGCACCCAGGCCTTTCTGAGGCTGGGCCCCTATTACTGTGTCTTCCTCCCACACCCTCTGCGTCACCCAGAACCCCTCCCCACACTTCTGCTGACAAGCAGGAGCCAGGAACTACAAGGATCCAAATCGGCTGTCTGAGATTCATTTTCCTCACCTGAGTAAAAACTCTATTTCTCTAATTCCCTCAAACAAACAACAACAACAAAAAAGAAATATCATGTTTACAATTTCACTAGATAGGAAAAAAGGTTCCCATTATCTTCTCAAACACTAAAAGAAGAATTTTTCTCTCATTGTTTGGTCTGGGGCCTAAAACAAACTGATGGGATATATCATTTCTAAACCTATCCCAAAGGTTTCCAGAACGCAATTCTCCCCTAGGTTAAAATTCAAACCTGCCATCTACTTTATCACTGTATTTTCCAGAAAATTAACCCGGGTGATTTTCTGCACATTCAACGGACTCAGGGAGTTGGAAAAACAGATCCAATAAGTACAGTTCTAAGGTCAGAGACAGACCAGAGCCACTCACTATCAGCTCCAAGAAGCTCACCCAAAGTTGGCACCACTGCCACACCTCCAGGGTTCCTAGGCAAGGACAACGGGATGCCCTATTGCACCTCTCACCAAAGGCTTGGAGCACCAGCTTCAAGCTGATTGCCAGGAAACCCATGGTAGCAGCAGAGCTACACGTTAAGGGGAATCGCCCACTAGAGGGCACTATTAAAACAAGGCCTCTCCCATGTGGCTGGAAGATTGTAGGTCTCAAGTTTCACCAGCTCTGAAATAAGGAACAGGTCACCTGAGACCAAAGTCCCCCTTTGGAGCTTTGAAGAACCCATCAAAAATGGTCTTTAATATGTAATGGTCTTTAATTTACATTATTTAATGGTCTTCAATTTACACTGCTGTGAACTGAAATCGCTCATAGATTTTTTTGTTGGTGGTGTTGCTAACTTTAATTTGGAAGCAAGAAATATTAACAATGGTCACCTTACCTGGTATTTGGTAAACATCAAGGGGCGCTTGCCTTGAGCTACAGTAATAGGTACGACAGACTTTCTCAATGTGCCTTTACATTCTGGTGATGTTCCCAAAACAAGAGCACCAGCATCGTGCCACACTCACACTTGCCCTCGCTTAAGGCAGAGAGACAGCCCCCTTCCTGTGCCTGCAATGGCAGCATGAAGCCCTCATACGTAACAACTGGTGTTGAAATTAGGGACAAAGGGGGATCTTCCCTTTAATGGCTTTTTTTTTTTTTTTTTTTTTTGACAGGCAGAGTGGACAGTGAGAGAGAGAGAGAGAGAGAGAGAGAGAGAAAGGTCTTCCTTTGCCGTTGGTTCACCCTCCAAAGGCCGCCGCGGCCGGCGCGCTGCAGCCGGCGTGCTGCACTGATCCAAAGCCAGGAGCCAGGTACTTCTGGTCTCCCATGGGGTGCAGGGCCCAACCACTTGGGCCATCCTCCACTGCACTCCCTGGCCACAGCAGAGAGCTGGCCTGGAAGAGGGGCAACCGGGACAGAATCCGGCGCCCTGACCGGGACTAGAACCCGGTATGCCGGTGCCGCAAGGTGGAGGATTAGCCTATTGAGCCAGGGCGCCAGCCAAATGGGGTACTTTAACAACAGATATTGTCCTGTACCTATCCTGGCTTTTATTAACATGTGGTTCTATACACAATCAAGCTTACTAACATATCTCAAGGCTTTGCTGACTTTGAAACCTGGTAGAACATCTCAGGTTATTTATCCACCACTGAAGACCCCACACATGAAAGCTAAGTGGTTTTTAAACTCCGGTTGCTTACTTTTAACTTCCCAAAGAGCTAAACTTGCTACTGCTTCCCTGATCTTGACTCCTGTAGAACTCAGGAAATGCCATCTGATCCCGTAAATTAAGTACTACCTGTAAATGAAGTCATTCAGTCAGCAAACATTTACTGTGCCAGGCCCTGTAGTCAGACAACAATCTACCCTCGTGTCCCTGGGCTTTCCCGCAGCACTGTCTCTGTCCCCAGAAAGCCTCAAATTCAGGCTAACAAGGAGGAAGATCCAGTGGTTCCTTAGGAACCTTCAAGCCTCTTCATTCATCCTCTGTTGAAGATGTTGTAGAGCTGGCTACAGAAACTGGCCTTTCCCTCAATCTCCCTCACTGCCACTTCGCTCACATTGCTGTCTTGAAACCAAAATCTGGATTCCATCATCTACAAGATTCTACTCTTCACCAGGCGCTCAGCTCCAGTGCTCACTAACCAAGTCGCCTCGATGCCAAGGTCATCTTCCTCATGCCTTCATTTATTCATGCAATGGGCTGCCCTATCCACCTGCCATCTAGAACATGCCACTCACTCTTTTGTCATCACACCCTTAGAAGCTCCAGGCGCTCTCCACCATCCTGGACATCAACCCCAGGGATTCAGCTGTATTACTACGAAAAGTGGATAGGGTCCACAAACTTGAACGAGTTACTTAGGAATACTGAGTCTCTTCAGTTTAAAGTGGCCATGTCTGGTTCTTCGGGTGAAATGAGACCGCACATCTGAGCACCGAGCACAGGTTCTGGCACCAACACAAACTCAGGCATCATCCTTCCTCTCCTGGTCCCTCTTTCATGGCAGGCACCTCCTCTATCCACGCATCTCCTGCTCCCACTGCTGCCTTTTCTTCTGGTTTCCCCTGATGCTTGGCTCAACATTTTCTGGATACAGTCACTACAGCCCTGTATTTGCAACACTGACCTTGTCTCAAACAGCCAATGTCCTCCACAAACCATTTCTAAACCAACTGCATTCCTCAATGTGAAGGTGCCCACAAATCCCGTGGGATCTTGCAGGCAGTAGGGAAAAGGTCCTGAGATTCCTCATTTCTAACAAATCCCCAGGCAATGTCTATGATTCTGGGGGCACGGACAGACTTCAGGTTGCAAGGAACTAGTAATTTTTTCATGCTCTGTTTTTTAACCTGCAAGGAATACAACCAGCTTGCACAGGACAAAAGCTCTCATCACCACATTTACACATGGAGACCTAAAGCAATGCATCTAAAGAAGCTACTGACCAGCCAGGAAGGGGCCTGGGGCCAAAGTGGCTATTCTTTCACCCACACTGGTGTTCCCCCAACCCCATTCTGCTCCAACACCTAGTTTTTCTCCACTTGGGGAAATATACTTGTCCTTGTGCTCACATGAAATGTCAAAAACAGGGTTTTGATATTCTCCAGGGGCACCTTTGCATCTGTTCTTCTCTGCCCTCTTCACATGTCCATTTTAACCCTGAAACACCCACCAGGCAGGTGTCTCAGACAAATGCCAGCATCATTCTACATTCTAGAAAGATTCAAGATGAAACATTCTTTCTAGAATTCTTCTGAGAAGCTATAATGATCCACATCAGCCAATGAACTGAGACTTGGGTTTGAAGTCTACCTCCTAAAGCTCCACTCCATAGCAGGAACTCAAGGCTGAGGGACTTATTTGCTGGGCTTAAGCAGCACACAAATCCCCCGCAACCCTCACTCCACCCCACAAAATGCTTGCTTGCAGAGCTCCTTCAAGGCAATAGGCATGCCCAAACCCAAGTTTTAAAACAAAATTCATAACTACCATACTCAGAAGTAAAATCAAAAATCAGCCTTTTGAGGTCTGCATTCTTCTCTGGCTTAAATAAATGCTCAGTCACAAC